TCTTCTCCGGGGGAGGTTGAATTCTAGGCTCTTTTGTGAGGTTTGTGATGCAAGCCGCCAGTGTGAGTCAGCTCGGAGGAATTCAGCGGAAACCGGCTGGCTGAGAAGCACCGGGACGGAGCCTTCGAAATAGGGGGGAATTCAAACACACACACACCCCCGGGGAAATGGGGTCCCACTGAATTCAGGAAGGCAGTCCAGGAAGGAGCTTGTGAAGCAAATGTTACCAAATAATTGTCTATGGTGTGCTTGTGATGGGGGAAAAAAACAACAACCTCAAACTTTGATTTTTGGTTTCGATAATTAGATAGATCAGAAATGGCTATTATGGATGAAGAGGTAAAAATAAAAAGTTGAGGCTCTAACGTTGTTGTCTTCTACTGTGCTAAAGAGAGTTGGAAGTCAATGCCTCTCCTCCTCCACCCCCATTTTTCCCCTTTTACCTTACATTTTCTTTTCCCTTCCCTTTTCCCTTCCCCTGGGTTCCCAATCATTTTTATTTACCTTTGTTTTTTTATATATATTTTGATAAACTAATACAAATTTGAAACAAATCTATTGGGGTGTCTATCTGTGATGCATATGAATAGGTGTGTATTTTTAATTGCGATTTTTTACTTTTAGCTTGTAAATCTTAATCTATAACTGTCTGGTTTGGCTCTACAACCCAACAAGACAGACACAGACTTCAGAGGATCATTAGAACTGCAGAAAAAACAATGGCTACCAACCTGCCTTCCACTGAGGACCTGTATACTGCACAAGTCAAAAAGGGGGCTGTGAAAATATCTACAGACCTCTTGCATCCTGGACATAAACTGTCTCAACTCCTACCCTCAAAACGATGCTATAGAGCACCGCACACCAGAACAACTAGACACAAGGACAGTTTTTTCCCGAACGCCATCACTCTGCTAAACAAATAATTCCCTCAACACTTTCAAATTATTCACTAAGTCTACACTACTATTAATCTTCTCATCATTCCCACCACCCATCTCCTTCCACTTATGACTGTATGACTGTAATTTTGTTGTTTGTATCCTTAGGATTTATATTGATATTGTTTCCTGATTGCTTATTTGTACCCTATGACTATCATTAAGTGTTGTACCTTATGATTCTTGATAAACGTATCTTTTCTTTTATGTACACTGAGAGCTTCTGCACCAAGACAAATTCTTTGTGTGTCCAATCACACTTGGCCAATAAAGAATTCTATTCTATTCTATTCTATTCTATTCTATTCTATTCTATTCTATTCTATTCTATTCTATTCTATTCTATTCTATTCTATTTATTCCATTCCATTCCATTCCATTCCATTCCATTCCATTCCATTCTATTCTATTCTATTCTATTCTATTCTATTCTATTCTATTCTATTCTATTTATTCTATTCTATTAAAAGCTTCCAGAGGAGAAAGATGGACTGTTTAAATAAAATAAAATAAAAAATTCTAGTCTATCTTGTTTTATGTATGCATGAGGCACATGTGTGTGAGCTTGTGTGAGCATAGTTTATAATGCTATATGTCTCTGTGTGTGAATGTACACATACATACATACAAACACACACACACATACATATAATATAAGTAAACACACACACATATAAGTAAAGGTTAAAATCAAAATTAAAAATGTACATGTATACAGATGCATCATACACACACATCTGTTTCATATAATATATGTGTGTATGATACATATGTTTCCATGAACATATCCATCATATACACGAAGCAAACAATGTGTATATAATATAATGTATCTGTGTACATGTACATTATTAATTTTGATTTTTTCTTTTAACTTGTACATTTTAATCTTGTTTAAAGTTTTGTTATTAACTGTGATTTTAGTCCTGTTTTGATATTTTTTTAATTATTATTATCTGGTTTGTAAACCATTCAGAGCTATTTAAGGGAGATGGGTGGTGTAGAAATCTGATAAATAAGCAAAATAAATGTGTGTGTGTGGATAACATGTGTGTGTGTGGATTCATGTATTCATTTTATTAAATTAATGTATATATTGACCTATCATAAACGTATGATGGTCCCTGAGATTTCATTTATACCGCCACAGATTTGGGATAGGTGCAGTGGTGCGTTGCCCCCCGGTTCGCACCGGTTAAATAGAACTGGCAGTAAAACCAGTGAGAGGCTCCACCCACCGACCCCGACATCATCAAAACGCTTCTGCACATGCGCAGAAGCTTCTGCACTTGCGCAAAAGAGGGCATGTGCGCATGAGTGAAGCGAGCGAGTTTGAATCTGAGTAAGGATATGGCTAGCTGATGAAAGCTAAAAAGCTTGAAATAGATCTATACTAGTCTCCCTTTATTTCTTTATCAGCAAAACATAAATTTGGTATAAAATGGTTTGTCGTGAATGCGACTGCTTGAGGGTTCCTGGATTGGAACTGAAAGGTGAAAGGGAGCTTAGAAAGGAAAAAAGCCCAGAACCGAGTAGATGTGATTCTACTGAGCTGGAGTTACAAAAAAACCTTGGCTACGTAGGGATTACTGGTCCTTCACTTTTACTGCTAGCCCTAACCAGCTGCCAGGAAAGAAATGAAATAAGAGATAGAAAGACAGCTGCTGAAATGCTCCCACCCGCACAGTCATTTTAGTTGTCTTGAACTGGTCAATAGATGCTTGAACGGTTTAAACAATAAGAGAACGTAATATTTTAGACGCGTGCCAGAAACTCTGCCCTTAGACACAACTCGTCTTTAAATGCTTCCAACAGACCCCCAAAATCTGGCTGATCATCCATGCAGTCTCCAGTTTATTAGACAATCTATTAGATGCGACCTTCCGGGCTTATGCAAAGTTTCAACCCCCTCGGTACTGAACCCATTTTCAAATTGATCTGATGTCGTTCAGAAGCAGGTTGGGTGCTTCTCAGGCGGCTGCGTCAATCTGAATCGAAACAGCCTCTGATTCGTTCGGAAAATGGATCCGATTTGATGTCCCATGTCATCAAACCTGCGTCTCCTTTCAGAAGCTGATGGAACCGTTTCTGAAAATCAAGAGTGGACCTCATCATTTTCCTCAGCGGTACTAGCGCAGCTGGTCCTTGACTTATGACTACAATTGGACCTAGAACCCTCTGCAGCTAAGCAAACCGGTCATTGAATGAGACATCCCGGGACCGCATCTAATTTTTACAACCTTTTCGACGCAGTCTTTAAGCAGAGTCATTAAGCAAATCCGACTTCCCCCCATTGACTCGGCTTGTCGGAACCTGGCGGGGAAAGTCGAAAAACGTTCGGTGATGGTATGACTTTGAGGATGCTGCAATTGTCATCAATATTTGTTTTTTGTTCAAACTCCTGGTTTTGATCACATGACTGCCAGGACATTTATTTATTTATTTATTTATTTATTGGTTTGATTTATATGCCGCCCTTTCTCCGGAGACTCAGGGCAGCTTACAATGCGTTAAGCAATAGCCTTCATACTTTTGTATATACCTGCTTAGTAGGGCTTTCGGCCACCCCCTAAGCGGTGTTCTTTTTTATACGTTGAGCCAATCATTAACCAGAAGGATCAATCATGAGTCATTTTTTTCCCCAGCACCGTCCTAACTTTGAACGATAGTTATATGAACCGTCGTAAGTGGGGGAGAGCTATGAAGGAGAGCTGTCAACTCCAGATAATTTCTTTTCATTCTCCCCCCCCCCTCTTCCCCGCCCTTTGCTGGGAGCTATTTGGCTTTAGGCAAACAGAGCAGGGACAATTAAAAGACAGACCTACGTAGGGAAGCTTGGCCATGCTCCAGAGGGTTTTCGTTCCACCCCAAACAAATGTAACCTTTGAAACATAAAAATATTACAAGCAAAACAAACCTGGATCACCGAGAAAGAGCCACCGTCTTATCATTGCTCCAGAATTACAACACAAAAGGTAACGCACCGTCCAACTTTCTCGCAAATGCCACCTGGTAGCCACAAGGTGCCAAAACCCCGAGGAGGGGTAGGAATATAAATGAAAAAACAAGGGCTGGTTTTGCATGGCATGATTAACCAGGTCCAGCGAAAGATGCAGTGGCTTTATTCCCACCACACGCTAAGCTTGGTTAGGTTTTTTGTGGGGTTTTTTTTAGGAAGGATTAAACCGGTCCACCTGTCTAATTTCAGTGCCCAGGAATTGTTCAGACTCAAACCCCTTCAAATGGATTCATTCAGTAATCATGTTCGTGCAAACCCAGCTCAATGGAAAGACATATTTATTTCTCAAAACAGCCGCAAGATATTCGTTGTTTTTATTTATTTATTTATTTATTTTTCAAATTTATATGCCGCCCTTCTCCCTTAGGACTCGGGGCGGCTCACAAAATAAAAACAACACAACAATCCAAGTGCTAAAATTAGTCAATTAAAAACCCCAGACAATTAAAAAAACCTTGCGGCAGATCAGGGAATTTGCTGAAGAAGCCAGGTCTTCAGCGCGGCGCGGAAAGTGCGGAGGTCAGGGGCCATCCGGAGCCCGGTGGGTAACCCATTCCAGAGGGTCGGTGCGGCCACAGAGAACGCCCTCATCTTGGGGGCCGCCAGCTGACATTGTCTGGCCGATGGCATCCGGAGGAGGGCAGTCCTATGTGAGCGCACTGGGCGGTGGGAGACCAGTAGGAGATGGTCCTGTAAGTACCCTGTAAGTTTTTCTCCTGCCTTCCCCCCCACCCCACATCCTTTTTTTTCCTCCTTGTTGCAAGATTTGTGCAAAGTTTACAGAAAGAGTTTGTATACGGACAATGACTGACTAAGATGAAAACATTGGGGGTGTAAAGTAAACATTGGTTGAATTTAAGGATGCAAGGCAACCAGTCGAGAATCCCAAGGAACTTGGAGGACGCCAACTGGGAGAAGAGGGGTCTAGAACTGCTATCCAGATCAGATCTGCTATTTGGAACCCAAACGTCTTTGCAAATGTCTACAGAAAGCTCTTCCCCCGAAGATGGGCCCCGATCAGAGAAGGAACCATCACTTACCCCAGGCAGTGTCTTCTGTTCATGAAGGGCACTCTGAGCTTTAAGGGCTGAGTCCCGGGCACAGTATGTAAGAAAGGCACAACCTGGAAAGAAGAAAAGAGGAATGAAAAGGGGCATATAGACTTAGGGAACAGCTTTGAGAGCCCATCTCTGTCTTGGCAACCACGAATAAAAGTGGAAAAACCCAAGACAACCAAACACAGTTAGAACGCAACCGTAGCTTTGCATGGAGACCTCCTAAATTTAATCCCCAGCACCACCAGATAAAGGGACGTGGTGGTTCAGTGGCTAAGACACTGAGCTTGCTGATTGAAAGGTCGGCAGTTCAGCAGTTCGAATCCCTAGCGCCGCATAACAGGGTGAGTTCCTGTGACTTGTCCCAGCTTCTGCCAACCTAGCAGTTCGAAAGCACGTAAAAAATGCAAGTAGAAAAATAGGGACCACCTTTGGTGGGAAGGTAACAGCGTTCCGTGCGCCTTGGGCATTGAGCCATGCTGGCCACATGACCACAGAGACATCTTCTTCGGACAGCGCTGGCTCTTCGGCTTTGAAACGGAGATGAGCACTGCTCCCTAGAGTCAGGAACGATTAACACATATGTGCAAGGGGAACCTTTACCTTTTTAACCACCAGATAGGGATGGAAAACCTCTTAAATCCCGAGAAGGTTTTGCTTCTCCAAACCATATTGGTCTTCATGAACCGGAAAGTCCAATTCGGTCAACGGAGATGTCTATCTTCTGCTTTAAACCACTACTTTATTCAGAACAACCGGAGGCTATTATTCAGTAATCTAAAGGGAGGAGACTATCGCTTTCTCTTTAGGGAAAAGGTCTAAAGACTTTGCATGACAAAGGCCCAGATTCAGTCCTGGGCAGTGTTGGAAACAGGGATCAGATACTTTAGGGAAAACTGTCTCGTGCTAGAGAGTTGCATACAATTTGGCAGCAGGTCAACGGGTAACCCAGTGAGAATTTGATTTCACACAGTTGGTATGGATTAGCAGGGCCTGGCTAATTGGCATCAGCAGGAAGAAGCCAACACGCTTGGGATCAGTGCAAAAAAAGAAAAAAATCATCCAGATTAGCACATCAGACGGTCATAAAGTCCAGCTCAGCTATTGCCCCTGGGGGTGGGGGCTAATGAGTGTATTATGAGCTTCTGGACTTTATATGCAAAAGGTCCTACTTTGATCCTGGACCTCTCCAAATAAAAAGGGGCTCTGAGAAAGATTTGCTGACACTTTGAATGGACAATATTGGTTGAGCTGAGAGAGAGAAGCCAAGCAGAAGTCCACAAAATGACAAAGAGCTATCAAAGGACACCACAAGGTTCTTTCTCTGTCACTCATCTCTCTTGACTCAGGAAGCGCTAGCATTTTAAGGTGTTCTCTTAAAGAAGTTTGGACAAAGTTAAAAAAAAAAAAGAGAGAGTAGACCTTTCCTGAATTTAAATCTGAAGCCTTCTTGGGTGGAAGAAACAGAGTCTTGAGACACTACCTCAAACACATCCAGATTGGATCATGGGGTGAAGGAAAAGTAAGATTGTTTTTTTCTTCATTGCTATGAATCTTCAAATAATCCATAATCTGTCATATTCATTAGGTACATATATATTAGCCATGCTTTACCGCTCGGTCTGATCGGTATTATCTATTCACTTGGGTCCCAAGGATTTCAGTTCAACATTCTTGAGGATGGTTAGTAGAGCTGGAAAAATTCATTTTTAGACCAATCGGGATTGGCCTTAAAAACTGAATGAAGAAAATGGGTTTATGGTTTGTTTATTGCTAGACTTTGGTGTTCTTGAGTAAGAGATCTTCACAAAACCCACCAAGTCATAAACTAGGGTGAACAAACCGAGTTTGTGAGATGTTAGCTATCTAGAGCAGTGTTTCTCAACCTTGGTAGCTTGAAGATGGGTGGACTTCAACTCCCAGATTCTGGGAGTTGAAGTCCACCCATCTTCAAGCTTCCAAGGTTGAGAAACACTGATCTAGAGTCATGTATGTGAGATGAGTGGCTATATAAATCAAGCAAACAAAAGCACACTACATACCAAGCCACAAGACAGCTTAGTGCCTGTGAGTAAATTGCCTCGCATCCTGGATTCACACACCACTCATACCCTGTTCACCGATTCACTGATTTTCTAAGTTTGCCTACTACACTGATGCCCCAAGCAAGCAAACGCCCAAACTTTCACGCAGCCCCCAAATTCAACGTCACCTCCTCGCCCCACGGAAACCAAGATATGTACTACTAACCAAGCTGAAACCGATGATCCAAGTGCGGTTTGCGAAGGACGAATTTAATTGAGCTCGATTGGCATGGTGCAGAGTTAGGGACCGTGTCCCAAACGAGGAAATGCTACCACGAAGTGTAATTCCCAAAGACTCTCGGAGATAGCGACCGAACGAAGAAGAAAGGGGCTTTGACGGACAGGTGTTCCGCATGAATGAGCAACGTCCAAGCAAAGACCGCACATCAATTGGATACAACCAGATGGTCGGAGAAAAAGAAGAGGAAGGCCAAAGAAAAACCAGGCGCCAGGAAGATCCGAAAAACACGTCAACGTTAAATGGAAGGATGCGGAGACCGTAGCTATGGACCGGGAACGGCGGCATATGCTTGTAACCCGATGTGCTTGGTCCAGAGTGTGAAAAATAAAAAATAAAAATAAAAAGATCAGCGTGTTATATCGAAGGAGTTGTTTGATTGTACTTTCTTGGGCCTGCTGAGCTGGGCAAGTGCCTTACTTGTCTCCTACACACACTGCGGGCAGTGAATCAAGACGGAGAGTGTCGAAGGCAGCCCAGCACTGAGTCACCTCTTAACTTCTTCCTTCCAGGAAGGCTCAGCTGATATTTTGTTATGGCTAAATAGTCACAAATGAGATTAGGGATTTTTTTTTACATCAGCTTCGGCAGGCTGCTGGATGGGGAGAGGGGACCAGAGCAGGAGGCTGTTTGCTTCCATGGGGTAAAAGAAGGTGGATGTTTTTTTTTTTGGCTTAACCCTTTGGTAAAAGAGGAGAGAGACCCAACGAGGATCAAAGGATACCATGCACAGCATCGGCAGAGCTTCCCCCATCCCCCCCCTTTTTAATTAAATCCTATATAAAGCTTCCTGAAATGATATTAAAACAGCAGCAAAACAGTTTCCCTTCAAAAATGTAAATATTTAATGAACGAAATTTGACATTGATGCATTTTTAATATTGGCACAATTAAATCTGCCAGATGATTAAGTATTAATAACTCTTAATAAGTGCAACCCTCTTGTCTTCCAATGGAAAGAAATCAAGAGTGACAGACACCTAAAGCCAGAACAAGGATCCTGCGGACAAACTAGGTGACAGAGAGGCAAATGCTTATGGCAAGAGGACTCCAGAGAAGGAAGGAAGGAAGGAAGGAAGGAAGGAAGGAAGGAAGGAAGGAAAAGGAAGGAGGGAGGAAGGGAGGGAGGGAAGAAGGAAGGAGACGGAGAGGGAGGGGAAGGAAGGAGGGAGAGGAAGGAAGGAAGGAAGGAAGGAGTGGGAGGGAAAGGAAGGAAGGAGAGGGAGAGGAAGGAAGGAGTGGGAGGGGAAGGAGAGGGAGAGGGAGAGGGAGGGGAAGGAAGGAAGGAAGGAAGGAAGGAAGGAAGGAAGGAAGGAAGGAAGGAAGGAAGGAAGGAAGGAAGGAAGTTTATCCTACTGGTTTGCCCTGATGCAGATAGGAGCTGCAGAAGACACATACTTGATAGATAAACAGATAGCCAAACAGAGTCTTCATTAAACGAAGGATGACATTTCATTGAATGATTTTAAAGAGGGAAGCAAGTTGGATTTTCTTTTTGGTTGGCAAAGCTTCCAATATTGATAAACAGCTAGAAACAGAAATGCTTCTGCTGCTGCTGCTGCTGTTGGTGATGAGGATGGCAATTTATTGATAAGCTAAGTGGTAATTAAATTGGAGTTCGGTATATAAAACGAGGAAAGGAGCTTACCACGAAGCTCGGAAAATGCTACAGTTTACAAATGCGTAAAGACAGCCTGATCCTGTCTGCCAAATTGCATATTATTTTCTAAAGAAACTTCCGTGCCAGCCAACTTCCTTTATCCCTCCGTCTGCCAGCAAGAAACATGATATTCATATATATTCATTTTAATGACAGACTATCTCCTGTTTTGCCCCTATTGAGCAAGAGACAGAAATTCACCTATCTGCTTGTTTGTTTCTCGCCCAGTGAAATCTGGGTCCATTCCCTCCCTTCCACTGCTTTATCTATATCCCTATCTCCTTTCATCACACCTACAGGCCTACATTTATTTTGCAAAGCTACCTTTTAAAAATATTATTTTAGAGAATCTCCCGGTCCATCTACCTTGGAGATGATAGAAAATTAAGGCGAATCTTCTTCCTGACTATTACGTGTCCTGCAGCACCAACCAGGCATCAAAATTCTCATTTTTGCATTCATTCGGAAAGTCCACTTTTCAAAATACTGTCGCTAAACCTTAAAAAGTTATAAAAACAAAGAGATAGGGACAGGTGTTTTTTTTTTTAAATTTTTTTTTCCAGGGAATGGGGTCCATTGGCATAAGAAGTGTTTTAACATGCCCCTTTTTCTCGATCTTTGAAACGTATTGATCAGGCATTTTACCCACAAGAAATTTTACCCAACGTGAAACTTAAGATGCTGAAAATTCAAAAATACAACCACTCACAATAAGCCTCCCTGAATTCAGGCGAGGATTGTTGTTGTTGTTTTTTTCCAGAGAACTAAACACAGAGTTATAACTTCTGATTAAAATGTTGTTCGCATTTCCTTAGGAATTAGAGCAATACAGTATCAGAGTTGAGGGGGCCTCGGAGGTCATCTAATCCAACCCTCTGCTCACACAAGAGACCTATACTAGGGATTCGAACCGCCAGACGGCCGACCTTCTTGATCGACAACTTCAGTGTCTTAGCCACTGAGCCACCTAGTCAGGCTTACTTAGGAAATGTTTACATGTTTACTTAGGAAAAGAAAAGTCTTGCTGAATTCAGAGAGCTGTAAGATCTCAGCCTTTAACCAAATGCTTTCCCTCTCTTGTGGCTAAAACGCCAAAGAGTTGGTCATACATGTAACAGGGAGTTAAACGCATCTCTGCGTTTAATGGACAGTCGAGAGCCTTCTGCTGATAACTTCCAAGAAGTGGAGCTAAAAATATAACGCGGAGTAGAAGAACCTGCTATTTGGGGGAAGAAAAAGTGAAATGCAAGCATTCTTAAGCAACCCTGAGCCTACTTTTGCTTCTTACGGTATCTGTTCGTTGTTGTTGTTTTTTTTTCCCTATCCTCCATTTTAGCTCCTAGAAATCGCTCCCAAGGACCTAACAGGACCCATTTTGCCTGTGTGAATGCACTAATTCCGTGATAATTGATTTCTGACCTTCAGTAAAATTAAACATCGAGAAGTTTTATGAGTAAGTCCACCTCTTTTCTAACTTTGAGGTGACAAAGAAGAATGGTCCTCTTTGGAAAAGTGAAAGTGGATTGCAGAATACAATCCCTCCCTCCCTCTCTCCCTCCCCCTCCCTCCCTCTCTCTTTCTCTCTCTCACACACACAACTGTGCTGCCTGTTAAAACACTAAAATACTAATCAGATTGGGCAGGTATGGTGATACTGAGCCTGCTTCAAATAGGAGTTAAAGTCCCTAGAAACTGGGAGCTGGGAGTTCTAGCCTCACCATAAGCATGGTGCCAGATGAATAAATATTATTATTATTATTATTATTATTATTATTATTATTATTATTATTATTATTATTATTATTATTTGAATTTGTATACCGCCCTACTCCCGAAGGACTCATTATCTTGTTATCCCTACTCAACTAGATGCCTCCAAGAAATTCCGCAGAGTAGGAACCCAATGGGGTCTCCTAGGAGATTGCATTCAGAAGTAGACAAGTCCATTCTTGAGATGGGGCGCCTGTTTGGTGTAGTTGCTACAGGCCCTTGTCTACAAAGTGGAAGACCACGAATTCTCTCGTCCTGACCTAAGGTGACTTTGGGCCGGGCCCTTTTCCTCAGTCCTAAGAAGAAGGAGAAGACAAGGATGAACCAGTTCAAGAAAAGGTTGCCAAGAAACCTGCAAGGAACTGTCCAGCCAAGGGCAAGAAGTCAAAAAAAAAATAAATGACTTGAACTGCACGCAAAGAATGTCACGCCACGACCCAAACATGGGCTCCTGGTGTGAAGATACGCTGTGTGCACACAGAAAGACACGTCCTACCACATGCTCACCAGTCTTCACACCGGATCTAAGTCAGCTGAGGAACAAGAAGCAGGAAATCCTCCAATAGTAGATCTTTACACCTTCTTAGCCAGTTGTTGTGGAAACCGGGTTTTTTTTTTTTTTTTTTTGGATGGGGTGTGGGGAGAATGCTAGCTTCACGCCGCACACTTCACCAGGACTGCCAAAGATGTCATATCTATATTCACGTACGAAGCTTGCCGAGGTAATAAGCCAACAGATAAATATTTGGTGCCTGGGTTTATTGGGTTTGTTGTCTTTAGGGATTAACCTACTGCAAATAACTCAAAAAACAGGGGGGGAAAAAACCCAAAACAACCTAAGCTAATTTGGTGATGCAAATCCAGAGTGTTTATGCATGATTCCTGAACCCCCCTCCCCTGCAAATACACACGCTCCTTCATCAGCATATGCAGGACCCCCAGCCTCACTCCCCCTCCCCATGACGCACAAATACATCACAACAAACTTTGCAGCCAAACCGAGGGGCTACCTTCAGGTTCAGCATCCCCTGTCCTCATTCAGAAGATCTGGGCTTCCTGTTTTCTCTCTGTGTGTGTGTTACACACACACACACACATACACACGTGTTACACACAGGTTACACACACATGCTCACACACTTTTGATTCATTCACTTCTTTTCTCACAAATCCAGCTAACCTTTCGGGGGGGGTGGGGGGTAAAAGTGTAGGTGGGGCGTCCAATGTTCCACCCAGCCAAACTTTGCATTTGGCCAACCTTTGGGAAGCCAGTTCTTCTTTCCGAAGCCCTTTTTTTTGGGGGGGGGAAGGAGATTGTGCAATGCACCCGGACCCGTAAATTGTCAGGCAAAAAAGAATGGGGCTGCACCATCGGGAGGACCAGGCCAAGCTGTGAAAAAACGATGAATGGAGCTTAGCCCGAAATCTGAGCACGGCTGCAGTTGTGAGGAGCTGTGCAGCCCTCTTCTCCTAAGGTGTGTGTTTACTCAGAGAGGCAAACCCAACTGAAGGCATCCACATGCCTAACCAAGGAATTGCGAAGAGCAACACAACCTGAGAAAGGGGGAGAGGAGAGGAGGGGGGGGAGCCTTTGCTGGTGGTGTTAACTTCTTCCTGCCAAAATATATGGAGCTTTTTTTTGCGGGGGAGGGGGAGAGATCTCCCCTTCCACGTGTCACAACTCCATCCTCTCTTGTTTTTTAAAAAAACCCTTTCACCCAAGTTTGTACAGAGGCTTATCGATACGATCTGGGGAGGGGAAGGGTGGGGAAGGGAGGGGGCACCAGAGGGGGAGGGCCGGCTTCCTCCCTCCCTCCCTCTCGGCACAGCCTGTCGTTTTCTTTGTGCCCGAACCAAACCCTTCCAGGACACAAACACTCCGGCGGGTGAACGAACCCCTTCCGTGCCATCTTCCGAGGCGGCAGCCCTGCTGCTGGGGGGGCTTTGGTGAATTTCTTTCCCGTGGGCCGCCAGGCCACGCGCACTTTCCACCACCCCCTCACACTCCCCCCACCCGCCCGCGAAAACCAGGGTTCCGTGGGGCTGCGTGGCTGGCTGGCTGGCTGGCGGGCGGGCTTGCTTCCGAGTAGACCTGCACGTCTCCCTCTCTTGCGCACCCACGGGCGGGCGGGCGCGCACACACACACACGGACACGGACACACACACACACACACGGAGAGAGCGAGCGAGCGAAGAGCGGCGGTTCCTTTGTTGGTCCCTCCGCCCGGCCAGGCGGGGCAGGCGTGGCGGGTCTCGGGAGGCGTCGGAGCCGGAGGAGGGGTCCGCGCGGGCGAGCCAGCCAGCCAGCCAGCTAGGCAGCCAGGCAGCGAGCGAGCAAGCGAGCGATCTCCGGGCTCGGGGCCAGCCTTGCCTTGCCTTGCCTTGCCTTGCCTACCTTTGTGCATGCCGGTGAAGCGATCCTTGAGCACGGTGAGTTCGTAGATCTTGCCGAATTCCTCGAAGAGGGGCTTGAGGTCGCTCTCCTCCAGGTTCCGCGGGATCTGGCCGATGAAGAGCTTGATGGCATCGTGGTCCTTCATGGCGATGGAGCCTCCCGGGCCGGGCGCCGGCGCCGTCAGCCCGTTCATCCTCGCGGCGCTGTTCGTGGTGCTGAAAGCGGCGCTCTCCGCCTGCGGCGGCGGCGGCGGCGGGGGGGGCGGCGGCGGCGGCGGCGGCGGGGGCCCGGCGGGAGGCGGCTGCTGCTGCTGCTGGTGCTGCTGCTGTTGCTGCTGCTGCTGCTGCGCTAGCCCGTTGGCCAGAGTAGCCATGATGTTCCCAGCAGGCGCTGCCCCGCCCCGGCCGCCCCGCCCCGGCGAGCCCTGCCTGCCTGCCTGCCTGCCTGCTTGCGCCGCGCGGGAGCAGGGCGAGAGGGAAGCGGGGGGGGGGAGGGCGAGTGGGGGGGCTGCCCAGCCCGGACTCCCCCGCGCCGCGCTCAGCCGGATCTTCCCCGCTTTGCCTGGGCGACGGAAGGCGCTCCACTCCGCTCCGCTTCGCCTCCTCCTCCTCCTCCTCTTCCCTCTTTCCCTCTTTCCCTCTTTCCCTCTTTCCCCTCCCTCGGCGGCGGCGGCGGCGGCGGCCACTGGGCCCGGTGACGTCAGCTGACTAGCCCTGGACTATTCGCATATGATTAGCATAAGGACGGGCTTCGGCCAATCAGGCAGGGGAGGAAGGGGAGAGGGGTGGGAGGGGAAGGGAAGCCGAGCAGGAGGGAGGGGGGGAGGTCTTCGGAGAGGGGGCCGAGGGAGGGGGAGGGCTGCTGGAGAGCCAACGGGGAAGGCAGTCAGCGCTGGGGAGCGGGACCCTTGCAGAGGGAGACGGGGGAGGGGCCCTTCCCCTTATTCAAGGGGGAGGTCCTGGGGAAACTCACCCCCTCCCCTGGCTAAGGGAGGAGGGGGGTAGTGCCAGAGAAGCGGGAACTACTAAGGGCTCAAGTGATGGAGAGTTAAGGAAGTGCTTAGGGGTCTGGCATCCTTCCTTGTCCATCCGGCCCACCAACTCTGACACCATTGTTGCGGAAGATGTTTGGAATTGATAGTGGTGAGCTTCCAAAAATCTAGTCTATGTCTGCTTCGGTTGCATCAGGTATCTAGCTAGGCAGGACCAAGAACAGAGCAATGTGACAGCAACTCGGTCTGATAAGTAATTGGACCTGTGACACAGGTAATCCTCAATTTATGACTATTAGTGTGTGTTTGAAGTTACAACCGTGTTTAAAAATAGAGAATTACAACCGCTCCTCACACTTATGACTGTGGCGGCAATCCCTGTGGTCAGTGATCAAAATTTGGCTGCTTGGCCACCGGCATGTATTGACAATTGGTAAATACCGAAACTGCTTCTGGTCGATGACCATGTGCAGAGTTCCTGGCCTTCACTTGCTCTTTCCGAAGATGGAGTGATGCTTTAGGCTCAGGACATTTAATTTATGATAATTGATTAGATGTTTCTGGCCAAGAATAACAAAAGATCTCCTTTCTGATTTGCATCCTTGTCTGAATGCACATGCAGCCCAGGTTCGTGTTCTAGTTCAGCGGTCACCAACTGGTGGTCCGTGGACCACTGGTGGCCCGTGAGAAAATTTTGGTGGTCCGCAGAAAAAATATTTGCATTTTTTAATATTGCACTAAATCGGGGGTCCTCAAACTACGGGCCCTGGGCCCGATATGTGCAATGAATTTTTGTGTTGCTGCAGAGAGTCTCCCCCTTTGGGGTCTTTTTGTGTGGGTTGGAAGGGGGCAGAAATTCCGACATGGGGTCTGCTTGGTGCGGGGCTTTGGGTGAAGGCTGGAGGGAAGTGCCACTGGTGGCAAGGAGCTGGAGGGCCTTGTTCTAGTGGGACTGCCTCATGGCCTGGAACTGTCTGACCATCTCAGCCCACTGAGCCTCCAGGCGCCTGTACCTGGCCTTGCACTCCCACAGGTCTTCCCTCTGCTTGGAATAGAATAGAATAGAATAGAATAGAATAGAATAGAATAGAATAGAGAATAGAATAGAATAGAATAGAATAGAATAGAATAGAATAGAATAGAACAGGAGAGAGAAGAATAGAATAGAATAGAATAGAATAGAAGAATAGATAGAATAGAATAGAATAGAATAGAAGATGGAAGGAATGGAAAGGAAGGGAAGGGAAGGGAAGGGAAGGGAAGGGAAGGGAAGGGAAGGGAAGAGAAGAGAAGAGAAGAGAAGAGAAGAGAAGAGAAGAGAAGAGAAGAGAGAAGAGAAGAGAAGAGAAGAGAAGATGGAGTGGAATGGAATGGAATGGAATGGAAGGGAAGGGAAGGGAAGGGAAGGGAAGGGAAGAGAAGAGAAGAGAAGAGAAGAGAAGAGAAGAGAAGAGAAGAGAAGAGGGAGTGGATGGAATGGAATGGAAGGAGGGAAGGGAAGGGAAGGGAGGGAAGGGAAGGAAGAAGAGAGAAGAGAAGAGAAGAGAAGAGAGAAGAGAAGAGAAGAGAAGAGGGAGTGGAATGGAATGGAATGGAATGGAATGGAAGGAAGGGAAGGGAAGGGAAGGGAAGGGAAGGGAAGAGAAGAGAAGGAAGAGAAGAGAAGAGAAGAGAGAGAAGAAGAGAAGAGAAGAGAAGAGAAGAGAAGATGGAGTGGAATGGAATGAATGGAATGGAAGGAAGGAAGGGAAGGGAAGGGAAGGGAAGGGAAGAGAAGAGAAGAGAAGAGAAGAGAAGAGAAGAGAAGAGAAGAGAAGAGAAGAGAGAGGGAGTGGAATGGAATGGAATGGAAGGGAAGGGAAGGGAAGAGGGAAGGGAAGGGAAAGGAAGGGAAGAGAAGAGAAGAGAAGAGAAGAGAAGAGAAGAGAAGAGAAGAGGGAGTGGAATGGAATGGAATGGAAGAATGGAATGGAAGGGAAGGGAAGGGAAGGGAAGGAAGGGAAGGGAAGGGAAGGGAAGGGAAGGGAAGAGAAGAGAAGAGAAGAGAAGAAGAAGAAGAGAAGAGAAGAGAGAGAAGAAGAGAAGAGAAGAGAAGAGAAGAGAAGAGAAGATGGAGTGGAGTGGAGGAAAGGAAAGAAGAGAAGAGAAGAGAAGAGAAGAGAAGAGAAGAGGAAGAGAAGAGAAGAGAAGAGAAGAGAAGAGAAGAGAAGAGAAGAGGGAGTGGAATGGAATGGAATGAAGGGAAGGGAAGAGAAGAGAAGAGAAGTGAAGAGAGAGAAGAGAAGGAAGAGAAGAGAAGAGGGAGTGAATGGAATGGAATGGAATGGAAGGGAAGATGGAATGGATTGGAGGGAAGGGAAGGGAAGGGAAGGGAAGAGGGAAGGGAAGGGAAGGGAAGGGAAGGGAAGGGAAGGGAAGGGAAGAGAAGAGAAGAGAAGAGAAGAGAAGAGAAGAGAAGAGAAGAGAAGAGAAGAGAAGAGAAGAGGAGAAGATGGAGTGGAGTGGAGTGGAGTGGAGTGGAGTGGAGTGGAGTGGAGTGGAATGGAATGGAATGGAATAGAATTCTTTATTAGCCAAGTGTGATTGGACACACAAGGGATTATTGTTATTATTAAACAACAACATCTCTCTATTCCAGATGCTTGGGAAGGATTTGTTAGGTGGGTAAAATGCCAAATCTAATCTAAACATCTGCTTTACTGGGCAACCAACCATAATTAACACATGGGCAGGGCTGCTCTGTAGACAGCTACTTGGAAAAACTGCAAAAATACGAATGGTACCACAGAATAATCGAATCCTTCAGCTAGAAGGGCACATTTTGCCCAGCTTCTCTTCAGTGCAAGTATCCAGATTAAACCCAACCCAGATGTCCAACCACTGCATGAATTCATCCAACAAACCAGAATCCATATTGATTTCACCGTGGACCAGTGAGGGGCCAGGACAAGGTTCAACCAATAAATCAGGGAGGAAAAACATCTGGAAGAGAGATTGTTCTTCAGACCATGTCCAAACTCAAAAGTTCAGGTGTCTGGTAGCACCTTTTCCAACTAACACATGTTCTTAGAAAGCGGAAACTTTCGTAAGCTGAAGCTTAGGCATTTTAAGAACATGTGTTAGCCAGAAGAACGTCTACTAGATTCCTCACCGTTTTCCCTGAGGGGCTAACACGGCCTTGTTTTAAAATATCCAAGCTGTAATAGGCCACCCGTTCAAACCTTCAAAGGAACCAGTGGCCAGCTCTCCTGAGATCCATCCGGAGCTGTAGGTTGCCTCAGTGTATTTGTAGTAGCCAGCTACACAGCCCTGGGTAAGTTGAAGCCTTCACCAAAGCCTTGGAGATCTCCCCAGAGAATTTAGCCTTCTTGCCCTAATTTTTCAGCAGCAGGATTCTTGTCGAGATGCAACAGCTTGGTTTGCTGCCAAAACTTGAGAGCCAGCTGATCTCTTTTTGAAGTGTGTATGTGCATCAGTCGGTTTGTAAGGGATTTCTTGGGGCCGTGCCACGACCCACCTTGCCCCGTCCCTCCCCACCAAGAAGTTACAACTCGTGTAGCTGCCCAAGAACATCTCCTGCTTGCTTCTCTGTCTCCTTAACAGCTCTGACTCGCTGGGCTTGTCGCTTCCATCCGACGTGTTCCTTCAGCTCAACATCCTTCACACCTGTTCAGAGCGCCTGCCCACGTCTCTATAAATACCCCCCCCCCCGTCTGCGAATAGGAACTATCAAACATGACCTGCCAATGAGGGATGCTATCGTGACCTGATTTAATGGGAATCCTCAAGGCTCCAAATGCCCTGGACGTCAACTGGGTGTGTGGGGGTGGGGAGGAGGGGCGGGGTTGGGTATAGGAGGGAAATTAATTTGCACAAACTCCCAGGTCAGACCACAAGCCACAAGGACGGGTGAAAGCATCATCTCTCAACCCTCGGAAATCACAACCATGTTGGCCACGGGATTCCGACTGAAGAAATCCTGCTTAGGGATTTAGGGAAAGTCCTTTTCGGTCTCATCATTGCTTATGTCTCCTTTCATCTATTCTTTTGCCAGCCGCCCCGCCAACTCTTACGTTGGTGTAACATTGAGGACCCAGATGGTTGGGGGCAAGATGCTGACTCTGTAAATCACTTAGAGAGGGCTGTGAAACCCTGTGAAGTGGTATATAAGTCTATGTGCTATTGCTAAGTGGGAAGGAAGGAAGGAAGGGAAGGGAAGGAAGGGAAG